TTTCTAAAAGAGGACACAACTACAAATCAGTGGTTAAGTTGTATTTACAACACTGTTCCAGAACACTTCAACCCAAATATTCAGATGTGTGCAGCACATTTTATGGAGGACCATTTCCTGATCCTGGTAGAGTAGACACGACAGTATAAGTCATTATAATCCATAATTATGTCCCCACTGGATGCAACAAATGCCTCGTTTATAATGGGTTTTCATGTTTTTTGAATCGTCGCTCCGGCCTGACAGGGCATCACAGTATGGCAAGGGGCGTAATATTTCCGTCACACGCTTGAGGTATTCGGCCAATCAATTCGGCCGCACTGGATAGCTGGCCAATCACAGCACACCTCACTTTTCAGACCGATGAGCTTTGTAAAAATCGACGGGTTTCAGAAAGGCGGAGCATAGAGGAGAAACAATAATGTACAGTATGTGGAAAATAATGTGTTTTTTTAACCTTAAACCGCATAAACACATTTCATTACACCAAATACACAAAGTAATGTTCTTTTTAGCAACATCATATGACCCCTTTAAGCACTCTCAAAAAAACTAAACTATCATTATAATCACTGAAGCTGTATACACTGTGAAATTAATCTCTTACTTACATTGTAGGTCCATCTGCGCTTTGTTGTTTATGATGAGAGAATTCACAAGCGTTCGGAATTCAGTCAGCGAACGTGCGCGCACTCAACAAAACTGATCTGTTTCAACGATGACTCATCTGAACGCCTCTGATTGGCCATTGCATTCCTAAGCTCAGCAGAATTGTGTGTGATTGGTTAAAATGCGCAATAATGAAATACAGTGTAACATGAGCAGATATTAATTTAATGCCACAATCGACACTGTCTATTCAAATTCACTTTGTTAGCAACAGACATAATAGATTTAATTTGTTTTTTCAGGGGCATTTTTGTCCAATTAAGTCCCCGCCTTACACACGCTCCGCCTATGCTTAAAGGGATAGTTCAACCAAAAATTACTTACCCTCATGTCGTTCCAAACCTGTAACACCTTTGTTCATCTTCAGAACACAAATTAAGACATATTTGACGAAATCCGAAAGCTTCTGACCCTCTTTTGCTCAAATGTGGTAATTGCTGACTTGTGACTTGTAATGGAATCATTTTTGCTGTAAGGTGACACTTTTACTTAAATATGGTTTTCAGGTACTCTTTACAACCCTGCCTAACATTTCATTGAATATTTGAATATCTTTAAAGGAATATCACAAAAATACCACACTTTTCTTCAGCAAGCAAATAGAGAGTCTGAATTAATTCATGTCAATTTCTATTTGCTTTTATTGGAATTCCTCTCTAAATTTTCCTTTGTGCTTTTGGTTTTAATGCATGTGGTTTCTCTTTTAAGAAAATAAACTAAATTAAATTATCTGGCATCAATTTGTTTTCCATGTACTCTTCCCATACAAGGAAACACAAAAAAATGTTTCCACTACACCAGTAAGCCCTGAGTTATTTTTTCCTTTCTGATTTATTTATCTACTATGCATAACTCCCAGAATAGACAGTAGCAGATGATGGCAAATCTGACCATCAGAAAATAAATATTTCCACACTGTGAGTCTCTGTTGTGTCTTTTCCTGAAGCTCTGAATTGCATTATTATTTAACAGCAGAATGCTATTCATTCATGTGTGTAATTACACCATACTGATCAAAAGAGGATTTTCACATATGGGAAACCCACGCATACACACATCTCCCATCTTCTTCCCCCCTCCAAAGTCCATCACAAATTACAACACAAAGAGAAAACTGCATGATTACTTTACAGTGCTTAATCTGGCCTGCGTTTTTTGGCTTTAGTTTAGATCAGTGGTGCTGTCATATGATTACCAGTGTGTATTTAGATGCATTTGTTTTCTCACAACTTGGATTGAGTCTGAATATTATCAGGGATGACTTTTAATGATGTAATAATCCATCTGCCATAATGCAAGAGAGCATATGCTTGAACAGTTCAGAGAGCGAATGAGAGAGAGAGAGAGCACAGAGTTAGTTAATTGTTCATCATTACTGCAGGACAAACATGGATCCTGGCAGAACCTGCATGGAAATCCTGTTTACTCTTGTGTCTGACACACACACACACACAAATACACAATGAGGAACTTTTTCTGAGTCTTCTGCTAATGAGCACATCAAGTGCTGAGATTAGATAACACATCACACACTGCCTGTAAAATACAGCAATAATATTCCATTATTTACTCGATGGATGTCCCAGTGAATGTTCACGCATGTTCATATAATCATGCCAATCACAGAAAAGAGTATTAAACCGCTGCTTTCCACACTAGAATGGCAATTCTTCTGGCATCTCTCCAACACCTGAAATCCTTCCGCTTTTTCTGCAGCGGCTTTTCCTCTCTCCAAAGGCTTTTCCAAAACTGTTTAAACAAATACAGTCAACCTCAACCAGGAAATCCATTGGATCCCGACAGACAGGCAGACACTGAATGTTTCTGCAAATGAACAACAGCTATTCACATACACCACTCCTTTAGAGTCACCTGTTTAGTCAATCAATATGTGATGAATCTAACACATTCATGTGTTGAGGACTTAGCAGAAAGACTCAGGTGGGAGGTATTCTTCACTTTACACACTCTCCAGACTGTGGCTCTGTGAGGTTACAGCACTCTGAGGTGTTGTGGTTGGAAATGGACTGGTGCTTTGTGTCTGAACTGTGACTGAAGTGGTTACAACTGACTCTAGGCACAAGAAACAAATCTAAGAGCTTTTTTCATCCACAGGGGACACGTCTAATACATAGCCTGGGTACCGCGCAATGCATTGTAGGAAATCCTTGCATCATCTACAGGACTGGACTTCTCGGATGCCTCAGAGGTTGAGTCAAATTCACACTGGCCTGAGATGTTGCATAGGCTTAATTGCATAGGCTTTACTAATTTGGGTGGACCTTTAAAAACTCATGTGAAAATGAAAGAATTATGTTATAACAATTGACTGATTATTTTTAGGTGTGAAAGACTGTAGTGTGTGACCTGCAGCTGACCTCATCTGTGAGTGTTGACAAGGTGCTGAATTGGCACATCAGGAAATACACTATCCAACCAAACTGACGTAAAGTCTATGTTTCCTAACATCTATCCAAAGTATAAGTAAAATGTCTTAGAGATGGGGTTTTCTGTCTGCACTGTAAATACTGTTAATGATGTAAGAATTTTGACATACAAAACCTACAGTAGTGGACTTATTTGCAATTAAAATGGTGCTAATATTAAATTGAACTGGATAAAACAATGAAAACATGAGAAATAATACACAATGCGCTGCTTTTCATTAATGAAATTCAAAGAAATGCATACTTTTATTTAGCAAGGATGCATTAAATTGATCCATTGAAGGCATTTGTATTGTTACAAAAAGACTATTTCAAATAAATGCTGCTCTTTTAAACTTTCTATTTCTAGCAAAGAATCCTGAAAAAAAACATGGTTTCCACAAAAATATTAATCGACACAACTGTTTTCAACATTGATAAACAATCATAATATTAGAATGATTTCTGATCACCAGATCATCATATTAGAATGATTTCTGTAGGATCATATGACACTTCAGACTGCTGAAAATTCAGCTTTGCCTGCATAGGAATAAATTACATTTTATTGTATTGTGATCAAATTAATTTGGTGAGCATAAGAGACTTCTTTCAAAAACATTTGAAATTTACCAAATGACTCCTTCGTTCATTTACGTAGATATAAAGCTCATGTGACATTTTACATGCAAATTATAAATTAGCGTTAAGTAGATTATCACAGAGAATGTAATCACATCTCTTTAGCTTGTTGACCTTTGATAATATTTCAGATTAAAATTTTTAAATATGACTAATAGGTATACCAGTATAATTCATTATGTGATGATAAGGATAAAGGGAAAGGGAAATTGATTCTTAATTTCAGAGGTGGCAAACGCTTTACCTATTATGATGCTGTAACGTAAATACTTAGATAGACAGACAGACAGACAGACAGACAGACAGACAGATAGACAGATAGACAGATAGATAGATAGATAGATAGATAGATAGATAGATAGATAGATAGATAGATAGATAGATAGGGCCTCTAATGGCCTATAACTATGTGGTGTGTGATACAATGAGGCGTGAGTTGTATGAGACGTGTCTCTGGTCTTTTCAGTGCTGTCAGATCAGTTGTACAGCTTCATATCTCAGTGCTGTGGTCTCTCAGCTGATTTGACCATGAAGAGCCGGTAACACGACACTGAGAGAGAAGCACACTGAGCTGCCAGTCAGTCTGAGGAAGGAATGACAAGCTGTGGAGCCCTGAACAGATTCAGGTGAGTTTAAGAGGTATTCCCATGATTACTACGTTATTATTGTGTTACAGTTGTCACTATCGTATGTGTTTAGCTGGTTGGTTTAATTGTACAGTCTGTATTATGAACACCTAAATCATAAATGATTTGAAAAATATGTTCATCACTGGAAAAAAAAAACATTGAATTACAAAGAAATGGCAAAAATATGTATTAAATTAAACATGAAAGAGTGGAATAGTATTTTCTTGTAAAACATACGCAAAAATGTTTTTTGGACATTGTTTATGAATAAAAATGTATATGAATGTATAAAAATGACTAATAGACTGTGCTTGATCTGATCTCTTTTAAATTAATATTGCATTTGTGAAGAAATTTTATAAACTGTGGTTTAGAAGCTTGAAATTTGAATATAGATTTGAATATAGAAACGTTTGGCCAGTTTATAAATAATGGAATTTTTTTTTTTTTATGAGCTCTCTGGTTTGGTATAAGGTTCAAACACACGTCCCTGTAGATGAAAGCTAAATAAAGATTATTAGATACAAATATACCTAGGGAGTGTGAAATGTCATCTTGAAGTGTCATATGAGCTGGGCTTACAAGTTCAGTCCATTTTATCATATTTATCGATTACTGTTTGAAGTCTTACAGTTTGTTATTTATTTATATTGCTGCTGTTGCTGCTGTAGATGTAGTATTTGTACAGTTGTAATAAATTCATACTTTTTTTTAAGTGCTAACGCGTTAGTCTACCTGTTTCTCACGCACCGCTCAGGGAGAGACATATTAACAAAAGCACTACGCAAAGACATGTACCGGCGATAGTTAATGCTGTCGTGTTCATTGAACTCAATGGTTTTGATCAGAACACGGGGGAAACGCGTGTGTGCATCTGAGGGAGGAGATGCTGAACACTCAGACCCACACACATATTGATCATTATAAGAGGGCGCGCTGTAATAGCCTAGGTCATCACGCCTACAGCGATATCCTGTGCTTTAAATGTCTTGAGGTCGACTTCTCCCACTGAGAGGATGCTTGTTCGGGGATGAGAAAGGCGTTGTCGCAGGTCTCGGTTCCGAACAGAAGTTGTGGATTTCTTCGGTAAGTTTGTCGATCTTGGCTCTGATAGTAAGTTGTCTGGGCTTGTAAAGTGATGTCTGTGTTCTTCCAGCACACGGGGTTAAATGTTCACATGCGTTCAGTTGGGTGCACCTGCCAGACAACATCCCTGATCCCCGAAATAATCGTTCATTTAGAATCACGCAGTCATCATCTAGAGAGCACATTAAACTGCGTCGTAGAATGTTTTATGCATTATTATTTGACTTGTTGCAGCTGCATCTTAAACCAGTCTAAACTGGTGTGCTGGTTTTAGCTGGTGTCCTTGCTTGGTCTGTTAGCTTGTTTAACAGGGAGTTTGCCTACTTTTTAGCAGGTCAAGCTATGACAAAAAGTCTTAAAGCTTCAGAATCTTCTACAATATGGTTAAATTGCCGTTGATGACAGTGGTGGGTAATACAAAGTTGTGAAAAAAAAATATTTGTTAGAAACTATGGTTGCATGGTAATTTTTTGTAAATGCATAATAAAATATATTCTTATTATATTCCTCAACACTTTTAAACACTAGTTATTTTTATCTTTCTTTTCATCATTATGTTTATAGTGTCACTTTAATTAGTGTGGCTAATGATATCTACATTGCTTGTATATGCCTTTTTCTGATGTATACTGAACAGCTGCTGTATGGTTAATAATAGATTCACTTTGTTTATGACTCTTTCTGGAATTTTTCCGAGCCTGTGCTCTATGGAATCTTTGTAAGGAAACTGAGGCCACTCTAATTGGATGAATTTCCACTTGGAAGGAGCGCACAGATTAACTGCATGAAGAGACACTTTAAAACTATGCAGATAGAGATAAAAACACTATTACAATCTTTTATAATAAATAATGGATGATTGAAAATAGTTTTCCTGTGTATTTTTCTCTCTTGTGTGTATTCTCACTCACTTGTTATCAACAAATGCAATAATCTTTTGTCCTAGGGGGAATAAAACTTAAAGTTTTAGGATTTTGAAACTTTTAAAAGAAAAATGATGACATGAAATGTTGAAAAATTATGTCAGATACTGCACTGTTCTTAAGTCAAATAAGTACATTTGTGGCACTGACCGTGCAACTCTTTGTACGGATGGTCAGAAGCTGATTGGATAATTTAAAATTATGCTGAATCTTATAATCATCATGGTTTATATGTGTCTTATCATCATTATGTGATGATAAGGATGGAAATTGATTCTTAATTTTTAAGAGGTGAATGCTTTACACAAATGCTGCTGTCATTAAAGCAAAAGAGAGACAAATCAAATAATGACTCTGAAATTCAAAATCTTATTGAAATTATTATGCAGTTAATCAGTGCTGGGTCATAATAAATACTCTGCATTATGTAATGTATGTCAGATTCCAAAAATAAAGTACTTGTAATTAGATTACATTACATTTTAAAATTCCTATTATCAGATTAAAGTGACTGTTTTTGTTGATTACATAATTACTTATTATTCACACAATGAGTTATTCATTATTTATTTATTTTCTCTAATTCTCTTTTATTTTTTTCCGTTCACAAAGCCCTTTTTGGAAACACTGACGTAATGTAATGTTTAATCCAGTTTATGTTGATAACAAAAAATAGAATATATTTGTGTTTTTATACCAGTATGGAACAAAATAATCCTATTTAAATCTATGTAATAAATGAATTAGGGCAAAAGTAATCTAAAAGTGCTCAAATAGGTTAATCTATTAAATTATATAACTAACACTGCAGACATATTGTATTGAAAACAATATGCCAAAAAATGCAAAATGGAAGCATTTTTACTCATGGTCTTATATATGCTCTCATTTTTGTTCCTTCAAGGAGGTGTGTGTCGTCTTGCTCATGCAATAACAGTATCATGGCAGCCTTCAATGGTGTGTGGACTCAGGAATTCTGGCGAGCGGTTTCGGGGGAGTTTTTAGCCATGATAATATTTGTACTGCTCAGTTTGGGATCCACCATCAACTGGGCAGCAACACAGGAGAACCCTCCGCCTGCCGACCTCGTCCTCATCTCTCTCTGCTTTGGTTTATCCATCGCAACCCTCGTCCAGTGTTTTGGGCACATCAGCGGTGCCCACATTAACCCGGCCGTCACTGCGGCGATGGTTGCTACACGGAAGCTGAGTCTGGCAAAGGGTGTGTTTTATTTGTTGGCACAGTGTCTGGGGGCAGTGGTGGGGGCGGCCATCTTGTACGGAGTGACACCAGCATCAGTGAGAGGAGGAATGGGAGTGACTTCTGTGAGTATGTTTAATTATAGGGATAGTTTACCCCAAAATAAAAATTCAGTCATTAATTACTCACCTTTTGTAATTTTTTTCTTCCTGCGGAACACAAAAGTCAGTAGGGTCCAGTGTTGTTTTGGACCCCATTTACTTTCATTGTATAAGACAAACCTCAAAACATATTCTTTTGTGTTCCACAGCAGAAAAAAGTCATACAGAATGACATGAGGGTGAGTAAATGATGACCAAATTTTCATTTTTGGGTGGACTATCCCTTTAAGACATTTGATTATAAGTTTTACACATAATTAAACTCATTAGTAAAGCACTCAATAGCCCAAATTAAGCATGTCACATTAGTGAGACCCCTGAAGATTGTAATTGGTAGTGGGCTTCCAGGAGAATAATTGAAAAACAAGCAGACAATGAAATTCACTCTACACATAACTCACTATCACCTCCTGCAGGTCAATACTGAAATCTCCACTGGTCATGCAATTGTGATAGAGCTCATAATCACTTTTGAGCTTGTCTTCACTGTCTTTGCCACCTGTGACCCCAAACGCAATGATCTCAAAGGTTCGGCAGCCCTGGCTATTGGGCTGTCGGTGTGCATCGGCCATCTGTTTGCTGTGAGTATTTTCTGATTTGCACCATTAGAAAACAGTTGTGGAAAAGTGCATTGCTATACATTACAGTTGCTTTCCAAGGCATGTTTCTAGTGAGCACTTTTTAACTATATGGAGATAATATTTTTAATCCTGCACTGTCAAGCACATTTTTAAGCAGTACTTGAAGATCTTTATCCTATAAAGATTAGCCTCTTGAGGTGTATCTGCTTAGTTCTCCTTTGGAGAATTTGTAGCCTAGCTATGATCCCAAGTGATGGTGTTATTTCCATGCCAATAGTCCCAGCAGAATCTGCAGATGAGGTGTTTATATGAAAGCTCATTTGTGCTGCTAAGGTTGTTGGCATGAGAGTGGGATGCCCGCTACGTGCCCTCATGTATTTAGGCCTGGCACTGGTACAAACTCTATTTAAGACCCTTTAGAGCAGATTTATGATTTAAAAAGGCAATCCGCTGTCACTCAGCTCACTCATTTTTCCTGTCTTTTTTCATTTTCTCTCATGTCGTTTCTATGCATTTCCGATTGGCAAAATGGACATTTCTACAAAAATATAATGTTGCTTCTTGCAGGTATATTGTCCAATATTTTGGATGTGAAATCTGCAGTGGGTGGTGCTAAAAGCATGTTCAAGACTTATCGCGAGAGGAAAAAATGTTTTAGTCACATCACATTATTTAAAGGGGTAATATGATGCTGCTAAAAAGAACATTATTTGGTGTATTTGGTGTAGTGAAATGTGTTTATGCGGTTTAAAGTAAAAAAAAAAAACATTATTTTCCACATACTGTACATTATTGTTTCTCCTCTATGCCCCGCCTTTTTGAAACGCGTCGATTTTTACAAAGCTCATCGGTCTGAAAAGCGAGGTGTGCTGTGATTGGCCAGCTATCCAGTGCGTTGTGATTGGCCGAATACCTCAAACGTGTGACGGAAATGTTACACCCCTCACCATACTGTTGATGCTGTGTCCAGCCGGAGCGACGAGACAAAAACATTCAAACCCATTACAAACTAGGTATTTGTTGCATCCAGTGGGGACATAATTACTGATTATAATGACTTATACTGTCTTTTTACGTGTTGCGTTGCATCGCACCGCATAAACATAAAACCATGTCTGCATTTGTGATCGGATAAATGACAAACTACAAGCGCTACTCTACACTGCTCAAAACTCGTGTTTGAATCATCAGTGGCAA